GTGGGTGCTCCAATGTCACCCAGACCTGGGTGCCCCAATATCACCCGGTCCTGGGTGCCCCAATATCACCTGGTCCTGGGTGCCCCAATGTCACCCAGTCCTGGTGACGATCTGGAGAAACACACACTCTCGTCCACTGCTGGTGGGAATACAAACTGCTTCAACCTCTTTGGGAAAGTAACCTGGCAATTTTTAGAAAAGTAAAAATTCATATCCTCTTTAACTCATTGATTTCACTCCTGGGATATAAGCACACAAAGGTATTTATTGCAGGATTACTGGCAGGGGGCAAACAAAACTGGAAATATACAGAATGCCCATAAACATGGAAGTGACTAAATAAATTGTGTGTTCTATGCAACATTATGAGAGTTTGTGCAATTATTTTAAGAGATATCTATAGCCATTGATCTAGAGGGATGTACGTGATGTGATGATATGTGGGGAAAAGACAAGTTACAGGAAAAAAAAAGACAAGTTATTGGAAAAAAATTTAAAAGGGGAAAAAAAACTGAATATATGTATGCATGCATGTGTATATATGTATTCGTCTATGTTTAAATGTACCCAGGGAGTCCCTGAGTGCTGCAAACAGTTAAAGCGCCCAGCTGCTAACTGAAAGGTTGGAGGTTTGTGTTCACCCAGAGGTACCGTGATAGAACAGGAGAAAAATGCGGAACAGAAGTCAAATTCTTAAAAAGTCCAGGCTTACTGGACCAGTTGAGACTAGAGGACTCCCTGGGACTACTGCCATGAGATACTCTTTAAATCTTGAATTGAAACTATCCTGAGGTCACCTTTCAGCGAAATAACAGATGGGCACACAAAATAAAAGATATTACTCGTGAGTCCAGTGCTCCATTAAAAAACCACCTATAGAGACTAAAAGGTCAATCATTACTCTAAAGCAAAGATGAGAAGATAAGGAGCAGGGAAACTAGAGTACTGGAAATGAAACAACCAGAACACAATTAAAGAGAATGCTGACACATTGTGAAAAATGGAACTAATATCACTGAATAATCTGTGTACAAATTTTCAAACGGGAACCTAACTTGCTGTGTAAACTTTCACCAAAAACACAATAAAATATTAGTTAAAAAAGAGAAAAAAGAAATAAAAAATTACTAGTAACAGTAGGGGGAAAGAAAACCCTATGGAGCACAGTCCTGCTCTGACACACATGGGGTCGCCATGAGCTGGAGTCCACTAGACGGCAACTGGTTTTGCAGTGTGTGTGGAGATATGAGTGGAAGGATACAGACCAGGCTTTTTAACATTAGTTATGACAGAGTTAGAAATGGAAAAGGGCCGGAGGGCTTATTCATATTGTCTTCATATTATCTTTGCATTATTTTACTAGTTCAAATAAGGGCATACTGCTTTTCTAATTAAAACAATAAGGAAAAATCAAAGAGCAAGCTCTGGGGTAAGAGTACCTAGGTTCAAATCCCGCCATGCAGTACTAACTAGTTTAAGTCACTTAACCTCTCTGCCCCTCATTTGCCTCATCAATAAAAAAGGAACCACAATAATGTTCACATCTGAGGCTTGTTTTCGAAGTAAGATAATCCCATCAAGCACTTTGCACAATGCCTGGTATATTACATGCCACATATAGTGATAACTTGATAAATGTTGTTGATGTTTTGGAAGTTGTTGTTATAGAAAAACCCTACCTAGGCCACCAAGGACCACCCTCCATTTCTAGGTCAGCTCACTTCCTCCAGCAAAGAAAAAGACCCATTTTCACTCTCTACATAGCAGAGTGACGCCCCAATTCAGCCTTCCCGGGAGCTGAGATTGTAATGACTTCTTTTGGGCAGCCTGCATAGCACTCTGGGTGGGCAGCATTCTTTATTACTTCCTCTAGCCCCAGAATGGGTCATGCTGTCCTGCTACCAAGTGACAACTCTGTTCTTGGCAGGGACGTGCACGGGATCTCCTGGGAAGGGATGTCCTATAAACAAAAATAGTTATAATAATTATATAACTTCAGCCCCACTCAGCAATTGGCACTTGTGCAAAGGCTCACATCACAGACATGGGTTTGGTCCTGACCCTGGCCTGCTGGGAAGACAGGAACCAGAGCTAGTCAGAGTGATGAATGAACACCTGTGCTGCGTCAACAGTCTAGCTTGATGACTGGTTCTGCATGCTCCCCCAGAAGGGGTGTGGCAGCATGCAAAGGTGGGGCCCAGTTCCTCTTTGGGGGCCACCTCCTCTACAGAATAATGGACGAGATTCCTCACGGGCTTTGCTCAGAATACGTTTGCTTTTGATTACAACAAACATACAACAGAATCCAACCAAAAGGATCAAAGTCTTGCCCTTTCTTTACCTGTGATGATGGGAAAATGCTGGTAAAATCAAAATCCAGGGCCTCAGTATTCACTCTGTTTGTTCTTCATCTAGAAGCAGAATTCAAGGTAAGGCCAATCCTTTCACTCAACCAAAGGGTTGTAGTTTCCATGCAAACTCTTATCCCATGCATAGACCCAAGGGGACCAGCATAAGAGGGTGCAGGTCTCCTGAAGGCTCTTTCTCCCAAATCATCAGCCCCTCAACTTTCCAGCTGGTGTTCAGTCAATCCTGACTCACAACGACCCCACGTGCATCAGTGTAGAATTGTGATCCATTGGGCTTT